TCCAATTGAGAACCATCTTCAATATCATGAAAAGTTAGAATTTGATTGTTCCTTCATTTCTCAGCTGCTGTTTTCTCAAATCAGGAGTTATTATTTGGCAGTAAAGCCAAAACCAGACGCTGATGTCCTGTCAAAGATGACAAATACTTGCATGATGAGTTCCATGCTCCTCAAGTGAGCCTTACACCCCAACAGCTCGCTCAGGACGCAGCTACAGCCCCAAAGTCATACCCAAGATCGTATCAGCACCTTCACTTGGCACACAAAACAATGCAACTTCCTCCTGTAACCCACAAAAACACTGTGTTTAGTCATGCCTTCAACTTCACGATTTAGGGTTTACTAACCCACGTTTCAAAGGATCAAAAGTGAAACTGCTGTTTTCTGACCAGTGCACAGCAGAAGGGGAGGGTCACATTTCCTTCCAGAAGGAAGGTTTCTTCCTCAACACCAATCCCTGTGAGGTCTTCAACAACTTCTTGAGCAACACAAGCACAATCAAGTTCAGAACACAAAAGATGTCACATAATGTTTCTGATAATACTCATCTGTCTCAAGTTAACTTAACCTGACCCTGTTCCACGGGGAGCTCACTGAATGATGTCAGACAAGCTCATCTTAGTTTGGCTTGATTTTCTCCTGTAAACCAACCAGCTTCCTAAATTTGCTCACTATGCTGATGAAAGACCACAAAAGAAAGCTTAACACAAACAGGTGTCTTCCAGAAAAAGGGCTTCGGTCAGGCACTGCAGCTTTTGCCAAATTACAACTATTCTGACAAATATAACATTTCTTAAAACCCTTACATATCACAGCACAGTTAAGTATTACTAAAGACAGAAGATGCACCTATGTAACTAGTGCCAAAGAGCAACTGCCAAACCAAAAATCCAGCAAATATTCCACTTCTGTACCTATGCTGTCTGAGCCTCTAATTTAAACATCAATAATTAGCTTAATAATCTGGCACTTTTTTAGTCACTGCCTACAACTGAAAAGATTAGAAAGTAAGAGGATGCTATCTGTAGCCTTGTCTGAATCATATCAGTGCCCCTTACATCCTAGGGAGATCAAGCCCAGTTCTCATTTTTAAACTCCTTGCTTTAAAATAACTAACTGAACTATCAATAGGAATAGTCAAACAACCACAGGATTTTTAGCCATACTTACATCAAAATTAAGGTTTCTTAATTTATTTTCAAACATCATCTTATGAACCGTAAGAATGGGGAAGTCTGTTAGATACAGAAAAATCTGAACCAATTTACCCCAAAGTGTTTAGTCTACACAGTATTTTTGACTGAGTTTTACCTTTTATGTAATGAACTGTATTTCTAAGTAGGACATGTTAGAACGACAGAACAGTTAGGACTGGAAGGGTCCTTTGGAAACCATCCAGTCCAAACCCCTGCCTGGAGCAGGCAACACAGGAACGTGTCCAGGTGGGTCCGGAATGTCTCAAGAGAGGGAGAGCCCATGGCCTCCATGGGCAGCCTGTTCCAGTGCTCTGCCACCCTCAATGTAAAGTTATTCTTCCTCATGTTAAGGTGAAACTTCTTGTGTTTTTGGTTTACGGCCATTGCTTCTCACCCTGTCACTGAGAATCACTGAAAAGAGTCTGGCATCAACCTCTTGGCACCAGGCTTTGAGATGTTTATATGCACTGCTGAGATTCCCTCAGAACACTGGGAGTTATTACACTACATCAGTAGACTTTCTACAAACTGGTTCCATAAACCAACCATCAATGCTAGGATTCTGTTTTAAAGCACATCCAGGTGCATCCTACTGAGCACTAGCCTACCCCAGACAAAAGCATAGTCGTTCTCAGAGAGAACTTAAGACTTATTCCTATTCCCTCAAGCTTTTTTTCCTTGCTTTACCAAGGACAGCTGTGTTTAAATATCTGGTGGTTTCCTAGCATAATGGCAGTAAAAAACCGCTGTGCTGCCACCACAAAGCATCAGCAATTTTAACTGGCATGTGCACCGCAGAACTGCAATGCAGCAGAAAACCATGAAGCCAAGGTTTACTATCACATTTTAAGGGACAAATGGAGAGAAAGGGGCTTTCCAACTAGACTTTTTAAAAATAAGAGAACAGAAAAATCACAGCAAGTTCAAGTGAGCACATAAACGTTTGCAAATTTTAAGGCAATTGAACAAGGGAAGAAAGACAAACATACAAGAAAGTAACAGAAGCTGTGAAATTGAACAGCCCTCCATCTCTCTGCATAAACAAGTTCTTTCATGTACCCATGAAACCAGAGCACAGTGTGTGGAGAACCGTGCAGGATTTAGCCCCAACTCCCTTTTCCTTCTCCTCTGCTAAATCCACATCGTGACCCCCTCACCAGCACCAAAAGTTACTTTTTCCAGCGATCTGCTGCTGAAAACAACCAGTCTATTCCTTCAGACACACTGTTCTGAACAGCAGCTCCAGGGGACTGACAGCAGGTACCAACAGCTGTCAGAACATTAATTCCATACCAAAACCACATAAAGAAGGCATGAGAACAGAACTCCCAAGAGGGGAAACAGACATTTGGGGCACTAAGGCATACACTCAAGGAAATCTGATTATCCCACCTGCAGGACAGGGCTGGTTAGAGGGTTTTTACTTGTTTTAGCCTCAAAATGACTATAAGGTAGCTTTAATACCAACAGTTAATGTCCAGCAGTTTCAAACTAAAAATTATAGTTCCTACAAAACACATGTCTGTGTACTAGCTTCAAAGTAATTTTCACTCTTTTTAAGAACTAAACCATATTTGATGGCAATATCAGACTTTTTATCTTCATTCCCAGATGATAACAAACCCCAACACTTGCATGCAAAACCCAATAGAGCACCAAGTTACAATTTTTCACACATACCTGTGAAAAGTATGCATTGCAGAAAAGCAGTTTCCTATTAAAATCACTTCCCCATCTTTTCATATGGTGCAGCCCCTTGAAACACCACTACCATAAAATACGGCTTTGGAAAAGGCAGTTCTCTGCTGTGCCTTTGCTCAAGCACAGAATTACAGGGAGCACGAGCCAACCTTCCAGCCAGTGCACTCAGCTGAAGCTCACTGTCTTAACTACATCAACTTTTTGTTTGCTTGAAGACGGCAACCAGAACGTAAAGGTCACTTTTAGTCTTTGAAGGGAGTGTCAGCCTTCAGCTGCTACAGATCAGACACTACATACAAACAGGAGGAGTTTTACTTTAAGCCCTTCTTTTAATGGTACCTTTCTTTTATACAAGCAGGAAAGAGTCAAAAATAATGTGTAGGATTTAACCTCACGGCCTTAAGGCCCACAGTGCATGGAGATGTTAAACTAAATCATGCTAACATAAGCATGCCATAATCACCCTGATACTCTGCCTACTCAAAAAGCAGATTCCCATTTCAAGTGAAAATTGAGGCATTACCTCTTTAGGACAGGGAACTCCTTGACCAGCTCTGTAGTCAGGGTTTTCCCCTCAAAGCTTCTTGTGTAATTCCAGTATGGAAATGAAGCTATAAATACACTGAAGTGGCAGCTATATGGAAAAAAGCTGGCATATTAAGAGACTGATTAATGAGATTGATTAATGAGGGCAAACTCTGTCCATTTACAGACAGCACCCTTCACGGGATTTAGAGTTTGAGCAGAAAATTTATTAAAAGTCTTTAAAAACATGAATACTGCTCTTAATTCCTCCACACTGGTAAAGATATCCTGTGAATACACACACCGACATAGAAAATATTCATAAATAATACAGTCCATGTCCAATTCAGCAGAGAAGCAGAACCCTGCTATGACCCATCAGGACATTCTCTTTCCTTCGCACAAAGAGGATTTTTGACATTGGGAACCAGAGACCCAAAAACCCAAATATTGGTTTTTAATTTAATGAGAGACTCATTTCAGAAATTTCCTGGCATTAAAATAAAGCCCAGAACAGTTCTTCAAGAAGAGACTGCTAATCCCTAACAGCCAAAAATAAGGTGGTCACGTTAAGATCTCCATTCACAGATTCACAAATAAATCTGAAGTTTAGCTGCTTAAGAAGGAAAACACCGGGGGGGAAAAAAATGAAGGAGAAGAAAGAAAAGAGAAAAAAAAAAGGCCCAACATTTTGTCCCAATTACACAGATGCCGCGAAACAAGGCGGCTGCCAATGGGAAAGGGCTCAGGCGGCAGTGATGACTGCTGGCATCACCCATCCCTCGTACGTGACCGGACAGCCTCCCGAGCGGCCCCGCAGCTCCGCTGTGCCCTGCCATGGAATCTGCCCGCTCAGCAAACGCGCTCCATTTTCTCGCCAGCAGCGCGGCGTCCGCTCCGCCGCAGCCCCTGCGAGCGCAGCCACGGCCGAGCAACAGCGGCAACAACTTGGGCAAAGACACCGGCGCTTCCCTTGCAACTCCCTCCCCTTTTCTTCCTGGAGCGGAGAGCAAGGGCAGAGCTCCCCCCGCCCCACCGGGAGCGCTCCCGGGGCATCCCCGGCTCCCGCCGGCCCCGGGTGCAATCCCGCCGGGAGCGGCGCGGAGCCGGGGCCGCCCCCGCCCTCCCCGGCACCGGGCACCAGCCCCGGGACAGCAAGTGTTTACGTTCAAAAACACATATACACCGAGCCCGGACCCAGAGGGAAGGGGGAAAACTCCGCCCCCTCCCTTGCAAAGGCAATAAAAGCTGGGCTGAAACATCTGACCGCTCAGCGCCCCTTTTTTAAGGAAGAAAAGAAAAGAAAAGAAAAGAAAAGAAAAGAAAAGAAAAGAAAAGAAAAGAAACGCCAGGGAAGCGGCAGGGACGTGGCGTGCAGTAGTCCCGGCTGGAACGGGCAGACGGCCGTGAGGGCGGCTCGCCCGGGCCCGGCCGTGAGGGATCGCGCGGAGAGGCCGGCCCGGGCCGGGCCGGCGGGAGCGGGAGGCGAGCGCGGAGCTCCGGCGGGAGAGAAGCGGGGCAGGGAGGAAGGGAGGGAGTAAGGGGGAGCGCGGCCCGCAAGTGGGAGAGGGCACTCACGTAGCGTTTCAACTTCTTCTCCGGCGGAGACTTTCGGAGCCAGCCCGAGCAGACCACCTCCCCGCCGCTCATGGCTGCGCCGCTGCCCGCCGGGGCGCTCCCTCCGCCTCCTGCTCCTTCTCTTCCTCAGGCAGCGGACACGGGGAGCCGCGATCGGCGGCGGCGACAGCACCGCGCCCGGCCCGGCCTCCCGGGGCTGCGGGGCGGGACGGGGCGCAGGGTGTGTGTGTGTGTCTCTCTCGCACAACAGCCCGCCGGAGCGGTGCGGGGCGGCGAGCGGGGCCGAGGCGGGAGGGTCCCTCCTGCCTCCTCCTCCTGCTCCTCCTCGCCGCCGCCGAGTTACACGGACATCGAGAGAGACGACAGGGGCGGCCGCCGCGCCGCCACAACTTGGGCGTCCCGGGGCAGGATCCGGGATCCAGCCACCGCCCCGCGCCGGTGGCGCCTCCTCCGCGCCGCCGGGACCCTCCCGCTGGGCAGGGCCGCGGGGGGCTTACTCTTGCCCGTCCCTCCAAGCTCTTGCCCGTCCCTCACGGCGTCGGCCGCCGTGGCTCCCCGGTCGCTCCTTCCCCTTCTTCCTCCTCCCCCTGCGCCGGGAGGAGGGGATCGGCAGCGCTCCTGTCTTCCCTTCCTCGCCTTCCTTTCCGCGGGGAGTGGCGGGGCGGGGGTCTGGCCTCGAGGCCGGGGCCGTGCCCGGGGCTGGCTCCGCTCCCTGCCGGCCGCTGAGGGACGGCTTTGCCCTGGAATTCGCGGCGCCGAGCCCTCCCCGAGCCCTCTTTCCCCGGCGCCGAGCGGCGCTGCCGCTCCGGCCGGCCCCGCCCGCCCCCGCCCAGCAGCGCTCCGAGTGGAAACTCTGCCGGAGCCTTTTCAAACAACAAGGGCTGGGAAGCGCGGTGGGAGGGACGGCCGCGCTTCCAGAGGGATCCTGGGAGCTGTAGGCGGCGGCCCGGGACAACTGCGGCGGCGCGGCCCGGAGCGCCGGGGTCGGGGCAGAGGGACGCAGTCGGTCCTTACGAGGAAAACAAATAAACAAACGAAACCGCGAGCAATAAAACAAAGAAACAAAACCCAACCCAAAGATCCCCATTAAAACTGCATTAAAAATAGCGCGGCCTAAGTAAATTCCTCTTAGCAAGTCTGAAACTGTCGTAGCAAAAAAAGGAAAAAAATTTAATTATCCAATTATCGTTATCGTTAATTATCGTTCACCATCTCTGCTGTGAGTGCTGTCTCTTCCGCTCTCTCAGAAAAGGGTTAAATAAGTAATAACAAATAAATTAATAAATACGATCAATAAATAATATATTCTTAAATAAAGAAAAATAATATTATACTTTTAACAAAAATAGTGGGGTTTTTTTTAACAGTTTTTTTTTCAGATTATTTAATGGCAGGTTCTGGAATGGGATCACTGCTGCATTATCTAGCTCCAGTGATCTTCCACTGCAGAGAAATAGTCCCCCTAGTATGCCTTGGCTGAAGGGAGCCCAACGATGCTACTATTAAAAAGTTACAAAGCACTGGTTGTAGCATAGAGGGGCATTCGAAGAAATAACAGGAAAAAAGAAAGGAGAAAGGCTGAGGTGCTAAAATCTGTGCATCAATTTCAACATAAATCTTTTCAAGATAATTATGATATTGTGAAGCATTATTAAGCACTACAAGAAAGAGCATCAAAAAGATACTTTGCCAAAAGCATTTGAAATAAGAAAAGAGGTGAACGTTGGCCTTTAGCAATACTCAAAGCACGTGAATCTGAGCATTCAAACCGTGACCACATGTGACCACAGAAATCCTTGTATGAATTTCTGCACACCATTTCAGCTTCCTCAGCAGGGCTTGGTGGAAACAATAAAAAAGTGATTTGGTCGGTAAACATGAACTCAAATTGTATTCTTAGGTTTAGATTTCAATCTGAGTTTCAGTGCAACTCTTTTGTTTAAACCACTTATGCCATTGTTTAATAATCTCAACATTTGAGATTATGCAAGTGCCAGATAAGACCACAAAATTTTCCAGTTTTCTTTAGAACTCTGGAGGCAATTTAGTATTTAGAACATGTGGAGTCAGTGTGAACTAAGTAAAAATGCCATTGGCACTAGGGCATTGTGACATGATCCGATGGTTCATTTGAATGCCATTAATTAACCCATGCCTGGAGCCAATCAAAGCTAGCTTGTTTTGGCTTAAGCAGTCTCCATGGAGGCACCAACTAAACAAGTTACCTGGTCCAGAGACACAAGATTGTCCCGGAGGTCAAATTTCAAAACATTAGTGTTCTAGAACATGCTGAAACCAGTGTCAGCCTGGACTCCAGCTTAAGTTTTCGTGTATTTGTTTATCAGTTTTGTGAGGGGGTTTCATCCCTGTCATGTAACGATAAAACATACGCTAGGGAAAAAGAGTTAATGTCACAGCTCAATAATGAACAATAAAGCTTGCCTTTTTGACCATACTTAGTTGTTGAGCCTAGTCACAAGCCCCAAGACTGGACATAAAATGTTTTTATTGCATTGTGGAACCGAAGAAAACATAATACGGCAAAGAACAATTTCCAAACGTTAAGATGTTGTCTCACAGACTGCTCCTTTGCTAGTCATGGCAGTGGATTTCCTTTTCTGCTCTCTTTTGAGCTACCCATCCACAGTCCCACTGGTGCCTTCACTTCCCATCTCAGGAGAGGGCTGCACAGAGCTGTACCTCTCTTTCCAAGCTAGTGAACAGCTAGAAAATCCAAGAGTATTAATTCTGTGGATTTCTGGGCATATCCAGCAGTGTTCTGCAGTTCATAATACAGATGCCCTGTATTAGGGTAAACTGAAGAAACTAAGGGAAATGAAATGCATAAAAAGCATAATATTTCGATCTGACTCTTAACAACTGCATATTTATAACTGTAAAACTCTCTATGAAGAGAGTGGTGAAATAATTACACTAGTCAGTTCCTCCATGTAGAAAAATTTTAACACTTAGACAGCTTAGGCAAGGGCATAATTTCCTGAACTTAAAGATAAAAGTCACAAAGACCTCTGTTGAGAATAACTGTTTGAGCTATACTTCTGTCTTGAAAGTTTAAGCAACATTAGGCATGCCCCATTTTGAAATTCTTCTGCAATACAGCTTGTGCTTGGAAGGAGCAACCTCCCTTCAGGGCTTGAAGGACTGTAACCCCATGTGAGAACAGGACCACCTTCTCCCCTCACTGTGTTCCCTCAGGTTATTTCTGTGCTGTTCCTTGGAAAACCCGGAAGATAAAGGTGTTTCAAGTTCAATTATTTGCACTACATAGGTCTTTGGTATTTGAGTACAGTGCCTTTGAGGAAGAAGAGAGAAAGAAAGAGAATTTTTTTTCTTGAAGGGAAAGTTATTTTGCCTGTTTTTAACAAGGATGTTGCAATGACAGCTGCTGGTTTTGAAGAAGAGGCGGCCAACAGAGCAGCTCAAGAAGGGAGCTCTGAAGGGATCCATCCTCTGCCTACAGGATTGGGAACGTTTGGAATGTTGCCATTCCTGGATCCCACGCAGCCACTGCCATCTGGAACAGTTCCTGTGCTGTGACTGGAGGTTGTGACCGACCTGCAGCGCACAGTGCTCAGTGAAGTGCACTTTACCCGGCGAGGGGACGCTGTGGTACATGGAGTGTGATGGCTGCGCACACGTGGGCGCGATGCTGCTGCTGCCTCCCGGATCAGGAAGCACTGCAAGATGCCTCCACTGGCCTTGTGTTCTTCCACAACTCCATTCCAAAGTGTCTGAATGGGTTCTCCACAATTCTGGAGTAGACTATTTATATATCTTGCCAGATAAGTAGGTCACGTGGAAATCCATTTGTCTCTTGTTTGCTTGCCAAGTCGCCTTGACGGAGGAAGCAGGAGCTGATAGAAGAGGAGAATACACATGGGCTTGCTTTCAAAAATATAAATGATGCTAATTTCTCATGCAAACAGCTTAAGAATTCTGGACTTGCATAATAACATGGTGCTCACTACAGCACCATCTTTGTGTTACACTTCTAGTATGAAAACCTATGCATTCCTCTCTGGTGTCACCTTGCAGGCACAGACAGCTGCAGCTCCTGATAGTGATCCCTAAACTCCTCTATGCCCCTTGCTTATATTTGAACACAAAATTTGACCAAAAAAAAAAAAAAAGAACCAAAGGTCTAATTAAAGAGTATAAATTAGTTTAACAAAAATTTTTGCATGTGACTCTATATCCCAAAACATCTTTAGGCGTTTATGTAACAATGAATCAATGAAAAAAAAAAAAAGAGAGATTCTTTAAGTTTGCAGAAATCTGCATTTATATATTTCTTTTCATCTCAAATACTTCCATTTTGATTTCAAAATTATTCCCAGGTAAATTTAATCTATGTAGTTATTTTGGTCAGTTTGTGGATGACATTATTTACTGTTTCTTTCAGACTGTAGTTATTTAGATTATTTGGCAAACAGATTGAGGAAAGTAATACTAAACAGATATAATTAAAAGAGACGACTGTATGTCCACACACTTTAGAGTTGTTTACTGGTTGTTAAGCTACCTCATCTCTTTTCTGTGATTACTTTTAATATTGATGTAGGCAAATAAAGGCAAGAGTATACTGCAGAACTCATACAAAAACAGGAGCAGTTTTCAGTTCTGCATAGCTGTAATGCATTGAGATTTCCTTTGTGCATTCTGTGGAAAACTCTCATTCCTGATTCCGGAGTGGAAATTCACTGGTAAATGTTTGTCCTCTGTTTTTTCGCCAGAGGATCAGTTGACTACCTTACTTCATGCAAGGGAATTTCCCCTTTTTTCCTAGGCTAGTCAAGGAAGAAGGAGCAGGCTGGCTGATTGGCCAGCCATGCAGAAACTCTGGCAGGTCTATGCTGTTAAAAAATTAATCTGAAGCTTTTCCCTCCATAAGGACAATATCTTTGCATCTATATACTGAAAATGTGTGGGCTTTTTCTATCATAGGAAGCATTTTACAAGTTCAGCACAATGGAAACTTAATTGTTCAGCCACCTTAGGCTTGGTCTTGTAACAGAAATAAGAATTATTGTAGACACAATCATGTTTCCAGGAAAGAAAGTAATGTATGGTCACATGAGAGACAAGTACTCCAAAGCTGTACATAGTCAAAGGACACATCAGCCAGGCTCTCTGGTTGAGCATGGTTTGTCCTCAAAAAGCACAAGGTGGAATTTGTACTGAACACCTCCCCAAAGAAAAATTTATTGCAATGTAGAATCCTGGGGAACAAATTAAGTCTAAGAGACAGCAAATACATAACACTGCAGGCTGATGGTTTCTGTTATTGCTTTAAAAATAGTAGGCTTATATCCGAGGATGTTTT